TGTGTGTGTGTGTGTGTGTGTGTGTGTGTGTGAGAGAGAGAGCATGCTGCCCTCTGCTGGTGACTCTGTGGACCAGAACCTCTGATCATCTTTAAATCCATCACTTCACACGTTAGCATGCTAAGGTTAGCTAAGGTTAGCACACAGACACGTTAGCATGCTAATGTTAGCTAAGGTTAGCACACAGTGCTGCACTGTGTGAGCTGCACATTGTCTGGTTCCATGACATATCCAGTGATGGTCACTGTCCCTTAATTCTGGACCTACATTTCTCCTTTGCACTTCAGGGTTTTTACTAATGTCGTTAAATGAGGTGTGGATTTGCATTTTCTAAATTTAGAATTGAGTAGAGCTAACCACAAATAATGTTTCAAGTTTCATTGTCAGTTTCATCTAAAGAAAAGGAAGAGAGTCGTCTAAACTGACATGTTTCATTAAAGGTTCATCATCGTTTTCTTCAACRTTAGAGGWGAAAGTTGTCTCTTGTTRACATGATGAACGTCCACAGTGAGGAAACTGTAAGTCCTCACAGCTTCACACTCTGACTGATGGTTTTCACTACAGGCTGTGGAGGTCCAGGAAGCACTTAGACCTTCTTCACTGGGTGACAGTCGTGAGTTCTGACCTGCAGAACCACACTCAGCTGCGCAGTTTGTACCTCCTCTCTGAGGAACACCGCAGCAATAAATATTAAGTAAATAAATAATAAATAAAGAAACACGAAACAGTTTAAATTCATGCTCTTATTGTGAAAAGAACAGGTTCCTGTTCTGTGTCCTGTAGCCTACCCAGAATGCATTGCTTCAGTTTTACTACAAACAGTTTAAAATTACTAATATATTTTACGGTCTTTAGCTTTAAGCTAACCTTTTACTGTCTTTAGCTTTAAGCTAACATTTTACTGTCTTTAGCTTCAGGCTAACCTTTTACTGTCTTTAGCTACAAGCTAACCTTTTACTGTCTTTAGCTTTAAGCTAACCTTTTACTGTCTTTAGCTACAAGCTAACCTTTTACTGTCTTTAGCTTTAAGC